CCCCACAGAGCCCCCCAGCCCAGCCACCCCCCCGGAGCCCCCACCTGTGAAGATGATGTTGGGGATGGGGCCGTGGCGGCTGCAGTTGCTCAGGTTTGGGCGGTTCAGGCCGGGGGGGTCGTAGCCCCCCTCGCTCGGGGGGTAACTCAGGGCCCCCAACTCCTCGGGGAACCCTCCGCTGTTCCCGGGGGGGCTCTCCCCGATCCCGAACTGCTCCAGCTGCGGGGAGGGACGCATGAGGAGACACCCCCACAGAGGGTGCCCTGTCCCCATCTCCCCCCTGGGGACCCCCCCGAGGGTCTCCACCCCCACGTCCCCCATGCAGGGTCTCCACCCCCATGTCCCCCCCCCTGCCAGGACCCTCCTGGGGGTCCCCGTGTCCCCCTCCCCATCCCGCCGTGCCCCACTCACGCTGCCCAGGCCGAAGTCGCTGGGGGGCTGTGCCAGGGGCTGCCCCAGGGCGGTGCCGGGGGCGTAGGGGGGGTTGTAGGGGCGCTGGGGGGGCGCGGGGGGCGGGGGGGGCTGGGAGCCCAGCAGCATTCCCGGTTGTCCGTAGGGGTACGGCGGGAGCCGCTGCTCCGCCGGCAGCTTGCTGGTGTCCAGGGGGACGCCCTGCAAGACAGCGGGGAGGGAGGGGGGTCAGCACGGCCCCCCCTGAGGGTGGGGGGCTCCCCCAGCCCCCCCGGCACTGGCAGCCATCCCTGAGAGCCCCGAATCGGCCACGGCTGCGCCCGGACCCAGGGTGGGCCGGGGTCCCCTGTGAGGGGAGGGGGCCTGGGAGGGACACGGGGGTCCCCCCCACTGGCCCTGAGAACGGGGGGGCGGGGGTGAGGGGGGGCCCTGGGGTGTGGGTGAGATGAGGATGGAAACGAGACGAGAAGTGAAGGGCAGGAGGAGGGGAAAGAAGAGGAGGACAAGGATGAGGAGGTTGAGGACAAGCAGGATGAAGAGGAGGGCGAGGAAGAGGAGGATGAAGACGAGGAAGAGGACAAAGATGAGGTCCAAGACAAGGACAAGGATGGGGAAGAGGAGAAAGAGAAAAAGAAGAGAAAGAGAAGGAACATAAGAAGGATGAGGAGGAAGAGGGTGAGCAGAAGGAAAGGGAAAGGAAGAGAAGAGGGACGAGGAAGAGGCCGAGGAAGAAGAGAAAGTGAAGAAAAAGAAGAGAAAGAGAAGGAACATAAGGAGGAAGAGGATGAGGAGGAAGGAGGAGAAGGAAGGGGAAAGGAAGAGAAGGGGGACAAGGAAGAGGAAGAAGGAGAAGATAAGGAAGAAAAAGAAGAGAAAGAGAAGGAACATAAGGAGGAAGAGGATGAGGAGGAAGGAGGAGAAGGAAGGGGAAAGGAAGAGAAGGGGGACGAGGAAGAGGCCGAGGCAGAAGAGAAAGAGAAGAAAAAGAAGAGAAAGAGAAGGAACATAAGGAGGAAGAGGATGAGGAGAAGGAAGGGGAAAGGAAGAGAAGGGGCACGAGGAAAAGGAAGACAAGAAAGATAAGGAAGAAAAAGAAGAGAAAGAGAAGGAAGACAAGAAGGATGAGAAGGAGGAGGACGGGAAAGAGGATGAGGAAGAAGGAGGAGGAGAAGGAAGGGGAAAGGAAGAGAAGGGGGACGAGGAAAAGGAAGACAAGAAAGATAAGGAAGAAAAAGAAGAGAAAGAGAAGGAACATAAGGAGGAAGAGGATGAGGAGAAGGAAGGGGAAAGGAAGAGAAGGGGGACGAGGAAGAGGCCGAGGAAGAGGAGGAGGAGGCGGCGGCGCTGGAGCGTGGGGACGATGCGTACCTGGGTGATGGAGGACAATGTGGGTGACATTGTTGGTGAGAACTGTTTGGGGTGCTGCCGTCTGCAGTCGCCGGCCACGGGCAGGGACAGGGGGCTGAGCGGGACCCGCCGGCGGGGCGAGGTGGCCGCGAAGGAGCCGCCCAGCCCCGAGGGCAGGCTGGGGTTGCTGGGCGAGGACTGGAGGGGCTGGCTGCGGGGGGACGTGGGCAGCGAGGGGTTGGAGAGCGAGGAGGACAGGGAGGAAGGCAGGGACTGGTTGGAGAGAGAGGAGGGGATGGAGGAGCTGCTGTGGGAGGATTGGAGCGAGGGGTTGCTGAGGGAGGCCTGGAGTGAGGGGCTGCGCAGGGAGGCCTGGAGGTTGGGATTGCTCAGGGAGGACTGCAGGGACGGGTTACTCAGGGAGCTCTGCAGAGGTGAGGGGAGTCCTGTGGGGATAAAAACAGAGAGCACCGTTACCCCGGCACGGCCCCGAGCCCCGGGACGGCCCGGGCGGGGCTCCCGGGGGATGGAGGGGGATGGAGGGGGAACGGAGCGACCAAAACGATGGAGACGGACACAGGGACGGACACACACCCCGGGCAGGGGGACAGCGCTGGGAGGGGGTGGGAGATGGGCTCCTCCCGGCCCCCTGTCACCATCAGACCCCAGGGAGTGAGAGCTGGGCTCCCCCCAGGCCTCCACAACACCACTGGACCCCATAGGGCAAGAGGGTGGGAGCTGGGCTCCCCCCACACACCCACAGGACCCCAAATCCATCAGAGCCCATCCCCACCCCACTCCCACACTGCCCAGGCTCCATCCCAGACCGGGATTCCTGGAGCTGCCACAGCCACCCCAGGACACCTCCTGGGGGTGGGGTCTTTGTGTCCCCCCACACTGGCCAGGGGTCCCCCACCTTTGTTGAGGCTCCCCGTGTCCCCCACAGCAGTTCCCAGCCTCGGGGTCCTCTCTGGCCCCCCCCGTGTGCCCCCGGTGCAGGGAGGGGGTCCCGGCTCACCTGGGGGGTCGTAGCCCAGCCCGACGCCGCCGGTGCCGCTGATGCCCAGGTGGGTCATGGTGGTGGCCAGGTTGGAGGTGCTGCTGCCCCCGCTCAGGGGGGGGTACGGGGCCTCCTCAGGGTCCAGGGGGGTGGGCAGGGGGGATGGGAAGTGCAGCGTGGTCAGGTCGGGCAGGGACCCCCCCGTGTTGAGGGCCGAGGGCATGAGGGGCACGTTGGCAGGTTGATCCGGGGATGGGAATATGCTGGGGGAGGGGGGAGAGACTGGATCAGGGCAGGAGCGGGGCTGCCTCCCCCAGCAGCCCTTGCCCAGTGCCCCCTACCCACCTCCAGCCCCCCCAGTACCCCCCTTCCAACCTCCAGCCCCTCCCTGGGAGCCCCCTCCCCATCCCAGCCCCTCCCAGCACTCACTGGATTCCCGGGACCTCGCAGGAGCGTGGCCGGGCC